CTTCCTTCCTTCCTTCTTTCCTTTTATAAAGCAAACTATTAGGGATCCATAAGAAGAGGCGAAAGGAGAATGTCAGTTTTCTCAAAGGTGACATTTTTTGCTTGGATGATGTTCAGGATTGTAGGTAAATTAACACAATACTTTGTTAGTTTGTATGAGTTGTATTACATATTGATTTTGTGATTAAGGATTTCTTCCCTCTATTGTTTGCATTTTATAAATAAGGAAAACAAACTCACGTTTCCAGATCTATAAAACAGAAACTTGGAAGCAGGAGCAGCATTCACTTCTTAAGCAATATGCCTCAGGAAACTCTATGAACTTTGATAAATAATGATAGTTATAGAAAGGCTTCAAACCTTTTGTTCATAGGGTCACTATGAGTCGTGTTTGACTCAAAGGCAATCAACAGCAACAACAACAACAAAATAGCAACAATAAGAGATCTAACTTCAGGGGATCATTATTAAAATGAAAAGTATTGACTCAAAAAAACTCAAACATTGCTACTGAGTTGGAGTTGACTCCAGCTTACCCTGTGGGTTTTGCAGGCTATAAATTACACAAGAGGAGATCTGCACAGAAGGAGATTGCTCATCTTTCAAGCAGCGAGCCACTGGTGGATTTGAACCACCAAAGGGGCACAGCTCTGGGTTATCAGTGCAACTGCCTACAGATGCTTGCTTCTCAATAAATGTCACAGACTCTTAATTACTCTGAGAATTAAAATATTAGTACTCTTAAAGTATTATCTTTCCAAATTCATAGCCAATAAATATTATAAAAGGGAGTTCTGGTGGCTTAGTGGTAAAAAACTGTACTGAAATCCCGAAGGCAGAATTCAAATCTACCAGCTGCTCCATGGGAGAAGGATGGGCAATCTCCTCACGAGAGATTTACTGCCTCTAAAAACCTGCTGAAAGCTCAACTTTGGGTTGATTCTGGCTTCATGGCACACAATAACAAGAAGAATATTATAAAAGATGTCCCTGTCCTTTTCATGATATTTGGTGTCTTTTCTTTGATTATATTTAGATTGTGTGTGTTAAATTTTGTTTTCTATTTTTAATAGAGGTATTTTGGATCTGTAAGGAAACACAAAGACTATAAACATTTTTGAAGCTGAAGGCATGAAGGAGTCTTTTTAAGATCCTTCAACATATTTTACCGGTTTTACTAAGTTATTCTTATATCTCTATACATCTTTTGAGTCCTGATGGAAGTGTGGCTAATTATTGAAATATTCAATTATTTGATTGGCTATTAATTAAAAGGGCAGCTTTCCAGCCACTCTGAGAGAGGAATACATGGCAGTTTACTTCTACAAAGATTTAAAGAATTGTTTTTTTAAGGCAGTTAGCAGTACAGTCAGTAAGGAATAAAATAGTTTGAATGAAGAAAATTAAATAAGGCAGGACCACTGCTAGTGAGATTGTAAAATGGTACAACCACTCGGGAAGTCAGTTTGGTGCTTCCTCAGAAAACTGAGCATAGACATTTCATATGACCCAGCTATCTCACCGCTTGCAATATACATACCTAGAGAAAATGAGAACAGAGGCACAAATGGAGATGTGTACCCAATGTTCATAGCAGTGTTATTCACCATATCAAGAACAATAAAACAGCCCAAATGTCCACCCACAATAGAATGGATTGAGAAACGATGGTATATTCATACAATGAAATACTATGCAGCAAACAGGAGCAATGATTTTGTAAATTACTACCTAACTTGGGACAAACTGGAGAGCACTATGCTGAGTGAACTAACTCAGTCCCCTAAGGCAAATACTGTATAAAAATCATTATTATAGAATGAGTATAAGGATCCAAGATGGGGAAGGGGAGAGCAGAGGCATGAGGATGGGTGGGGGGGTGGCTAATTATAGGGTGGTACAATTTTATGGGGGTGGTGGTGAAAGAAATGGGAAAGATCAAGTGTGAAAAACAATGTGTACAATCTTTGTAAATTAACCAGTATTAAAAAAAATAATAATTTGTGTTGTTGACTGTCTTCGAGCTGAGCACAACTCATAGCAACCCTATGAACAAAAGGCCTTTTTATAACTGTGGATATTTATCAAAGTTCACAGAGTTTCTGGAGGCATGATGTTTAGGAAGTGGATGAGACTACTTCCAATCTAAAAGATTAAGTGTTGCCATTTCAAACCTAAGAAAATCTAGGAAAGTATAAGTCATACAGTATTGTCTGCATATACGGAAGAGATAATTAGGCAAGGATTTAATTTAGGATTGGAAACAGACAAGGAGAGATACCCAGTAAGAGAACAGGTAGTAAAGAGAGGTGGAGTGAGCATTTACCATACAAAGGCATTGCAGCTCAGCAGTGGCAGTGGGCTACCAGCTTAAGAGAGCAGCATGGGGACAAGCTGCAAGCAATTGATTTGTATATACATATCTCACAACAAGATGCATTGTCCTCAATATGTGTACCTCTAACAAAGAAGCTGAGAGTAGTCACAAAGGAAAAAAATTCAGAAAAAAAGGGTAATTTCAGAAATCTTTAAAAAGAAATATAAGAAAAAGACTTTTTTTTTCATAAAATGAAACCATTCATTACACATTTGCTTGAAAAAATTTTCTTTAACAAAAGTGGTCTAGTTTTGGAGAAAAAAAAAGTATCGCTTTCTCCCTAATGGTACGTATTTTTTTTTCAATTTTTCCAAGTAAAATTCCATAGGGTCTCTAATAATTACTACTGAAGTTAAAAGATGCTTAAGCATTTTAATTGAAAGTCATCTATTCACCCAAAGGTCAAGTACACGACTGGAGGAAAGAATATTTGATTCTGCTCCCAGACCTCCCAATGTATTCTGCTTCATAATAACATAGATGAAGCAATGTATCTTGCAGCAAAAAGTGATTCTGTTTCCACGGTAACATAACTCTGAGGCTGCTTTTCTTTAGTGGTGAAGGACAACTGCTCTGTCTAATGTCTGCGGGTTTGAAGGGATGATGAGGAGTGGAGAAGGGATAGAGCCAAGACCAGGGAAAGTAATTTCACTTCTGGCTGCCCGCCACAAAGGCACCAGAATCCTCTAAAATAAATATAACTCTCCTGTGCTGCTTTTATACAAAATTTTTACAATTCAAGAATTTCTGCACTGGTTTTAACAACCTTACTATGAAAAAAAAAATTTTTAAAGGAATGTACTCTTAATTTCTTTATTTAACTGCTTTTTAAAATAGTTCATATAACAAAATTTTAAACTATTTTATGCATGTTTTCCCTTCATAAATATATTCCTTTTATTGGCTACTTCTTCATCACTTCCAGACTCTCATCACTAAGAGCTGCCATATCAAACAGTGTAACCTCTGTTTTATTTGACTGTGACCTGAGATGAATTTCCCTTTTACATAAATAAAGCAGGGTGAAAGAAATAATTCACGAAAGATATCCTTGTCCCAGGCCTTGTTTAGGAAAATCCTTTGGATGGAAGTGAAGTGGATTTATTCTTTTTTATTTCATCCTTATCTGATAACAATTTATTAAGAGATTATCATTACCAAGCTGTGCATTCACAAAGAATCAATATTTCCCTCAAGGAATGTATAGGTCAGCAAAGGAATGAGAAGAGGAAATCTTTGTTTACCAAACTAGACTAAATCTACAGTGATAGAACTAAATAGTACAGAGGGACTTCTTTTCTGCTCGAAGGGCCTTTGAGATAATCCCATTATAATCTGCCCTTAAAATATGGTCTGTGAGCAAATAGAAAAGCAAGGACATTTGAAGAAATAAAAGTCTGTTCAGAAACTTCACGTGATTGAGTATAGCAAAAGGGCACAGAGAATGAGGAAGTTCAACATGCTATAGAGGTAGTCAAGGACTAGAGACTGTGAAGGCTCTTGTTTGACAGTAAGTAGTTGGAACTCTAAGTCAAAAAATGATGGGAAAGTGTTGATAAATTTTAGTCTGCAGAGTAACATGACTGCATTGTATTTTTGCAAGCTTCATATGGTAAAATCATTGTAAAGATGGAATTTGAAGGGAGAAGTTGTTGAGAGTAGGGAACAAATAAATTGCAAGGCTTTTTTAATAAGAAATTATGAAAGTATAAACTAGAAGGGCAAAGTGGTCACAAGATAGCACACTAGAATGAATCGTCTGACTGGACTAAAATTCTACTTTACCACTTACTGTGTGTGTAGCATTTGGAGAGGAACATTATTTCTGATTCCTTAATTTCCTAGTCTTAAAAATGGAGATAATGAAATGGGAGAGCTGCTCTGAAGATTAAATGAGGCAAAATATGTAATAACTATATCGGTAGCTGACAGGTAAACACTCAGATGATAGCTGTAACTACCAAGGCAAAAGCAGAAAAGATGCAAAAGAAAGGAAGAAAATGGGTATTGCATATGCAAAAACAAACAAACAAACCAAAAACTCGATTTTTTAGCTGATTCATAGACTAGGACTGCTCCAGAAGATTTTCAAGAAACAGATTTCCAAGCCTCTCTTCCGAGACACTTCTGGGTGGATTCAAATCACCACTCCATCAGCCAGTTTCTGTTGGGTGCTGTCAAG